GGCAACCCATCTTTTTCTTTTTAGAGCATCTCTACTGGTTGAGGGAGGAGGAGGCAATTCCTCATCTCAAACTTCACCCCCTTTGTTTTATTCACACAACAAAGGGATATGGGTCAATAAAATTAAAACAGATCTTAAGACGGGGGACAGAGAGAGAGTAAGTTCTACGCTAGAGAGAGAGGCACAACAAGTTCTACCCTAGAGAGAGAGATAAAGAGAGGAGACACATCAAGTTTAGAGAGAGACGCTCTCTGCATTGAAAACCACGAGTTCGTATTTTCGAAATCTTTTTAAAATGAAGTCCCACCTTTGTTTTTTTTAGAAGGTACTGGTTTTGGGGTAAATATTCAAATCTCATGCTATTATCTTAGGCTCTATCAAATGTGGCTTCAACCATATTGTGTTAAAGAATATGTAAATGGGTGTGGTTTCTATACGGCTGCAACCTTAAACATTCCAATTAAGACGCACCTCTAAATTTTATCATACACATATAATTTTGTTTTAAAATATTCTTAGGATTATGTTAAAATCTATTTTTATATCTAATTAGAAATTTTTAAACTCTAAAAATAGTTAAAATCAAGTAGATCTAGAAACATATGAAAATCTTGAAAATGGACGGTCTAGATAATGTGTTGCAAGATGCATTATTTCTAGGACTCAAAAACTATTTTTTTTCATGTTCATACATCTTAATGTCGAGATGATCAATTAGATGGTTTTTCAACATTAAAACAACCTTTCTGATAGATTTTTGAGGTGCATCTGTAATTTTACATTTTAAGGTTGCAACCTTGTATAAACTTTTTTCATATGTAATATATTGGAATATCTGAATATTATGTGCTTGTCAAACATACCCTTAGTCTATTTTTTCTTGATACAATAAACTTGATTTCCACAAAAAATACAAAAAAAATCGGTATTTTAGAGATTTTAAATTCAGATTTACCATTCATCCAAAGTTTTCAGGAGCTCAAATATCCAAAATTTAACACGACGGGGTTTTTTACTTTGGGCTGCCATAGGAAGCCTTGACAAAGATTGGAGCCCCATCAGACCGCACCAGTGATTTAAACTCAGTGAGCCAGCACGGAAACAGCCGATTCGACTCGGGAATCAGCCATCCCATGCCGAATCTCGCTCATAACGAGAAATCGGACGTTTCTAGATGCAAACCGGCAAGTCGTAGTGATAACTCGCCGATTCGCTATAGTAACACGAACGATTCCCAAGGGTAAGGGTAAAGCTCGAAATTTCCCAAGGGTAAGGGTAAAGCTCGAAATTTTTTAAAAAATTCATAGACACATTTGATGCCCGCGATGTCTCTTATGTGGTACAAGATTTGTACACGTCACTCACTTGCGGTGCACGCGTCTCAAACCTGCTAACAAGTCAACAACCGTATAAACCACCTCAAGCACTTTAGACATGCAACTCTTCTATTAAAGTTTCGATGTGGGATAATTCCCACAAGCACTTAGTCCATGACCATGGCGGCAATGTCACTCTAGATTTTTGATAATTATTAAAATCACCGCTAAAACAGAAATAATGGACAGGCGTGCCTCTGCATTAGGTTTTAGCGGTACGCACTGCCTTGCTCTATTGCATGTAAAGCCTCCTTTCATCTCTCTTACTCATCCATGTGAGATTTATAGAGAGAGAAAGAGAGAGAAGCTAGTTTCATTCTGAGATACTTTTCTATTAAAAAATTGTGGTTTTGATTTACTTGCAGTGGTAAGATAACGTGAGGATGAAAATGGAAGTGTAAAGACAAAAAGATCTGAGATTTGGGATGATTCTGATTCTCTTTTCCTGGTAAAACCTCCCTCTGAAACCCCTTTCTATTCTATAGCTTCCAAGTTCTAAGTCTCAGTGAAAAGCTTCACAGATTGTTGGGAGATAAAATGGGAGGTTCGGAGTGTAACAGCACCTGTGAATCCAAGTGGACCATCTATTTGGACCAGCCTTTGAAGAAACCCATTCCTCAGACTTTGAAGATTGGGGATGATGGACCCAAAACTTGGAGCTTTGTAGAGAAAGAAGAGCAGGAAGAAGAGGAGACTTTGTCCATGGTTTCTGATGCTTCTTTGGGGCCTCCATACATTGCTAGTTCCCCTGTTTTCAGCTTCCCCAAGGTAAAATTCAAAGAGAAAATCTCTCTCTCTTTCCATGTGTTCCTGTAATTCGGAAACTCATAAATACCAGTAAATTTCTTCTATGTTTTCCTATTTTGCGGAATTACCTGATCAGTTGATACAAATCCCTATAACTAAGCCAGACGTCCATGAAAAACCATTTCTTGTGCTATCTTCTCTTGGGCTTGAACGAAAAAATGAGCTAAAAATGCCATGGATTCCATGTCCACAATTCATCGCCACTCTGTAAACAATCAAAAAACCTATTTCAAAGGAGGAAAAAGTTTATATAAGGATGCAACCTTATAATGTAGAACTACGGATGCCAACTGCACCCTTAAACTACTATTGGGGTATTGCGTACCGTAAAAAGTGATTCTATACACCAAACTTTCCCTAAATTTATCAGCAGCGAGCATATAACTCTCACCACGATGGTGTGCCTGACGGTGTATGCGGGATGGTGGGAATTAAATTATATAATAAAAAAACTATTAAAAATAATAATTGGGTGCTGACCACTCTTTCATCAAAAAATTTAAATTTACCTACTCAAATAAGACATCAAAACTCTATTAAGGTTGCAATAATTTGGGTTTTTTTTTTTTTTAACAGATTAGGGTTTTTTGCCAATTCGAGATTTTTGTGGCCATTTTTCATCGATTTAAACCATTCTTTATTGTAGTCCATATATGATTATGTACTTCATCCACGATAATTCTATAATTTTTCTTTTATGTGATGTAAATTTAATGGTTAAAATAAGTTCTTACAGGGAAAAAACATCTCTATATTCGCATATTGATGAAAAAAATGAAAGTGAATAATGTAGTACCTCGATTTCTTATTGGATTATTGAAAAACAGCTTTTATAATGAATTTTAATATATATTTTTTCTTTTTTTAATGAATTTTAATATATATTTTTTCTTTTTTTAATGCTTACTCCCACCAATTTGGCCGATTCCTGATCCAAATCACCGATTTACCGATCCGGATGGGTTTTTGGGGTGCTCGATCCAGCGCACCGATCCGTTTTTTAAACCATTGGTCTGCACTATGCACAAAGGTCAGGAGATCAACCTCAAAAAATTTTATGTGCTTTATTTTGAAATTTAAATTGCTAATATATTTATTTTTATTAAATCAAATGCAATCGATTTATGTGTATATACTTTCATATTTTATATTTTCTATTTTCTAATATTTCCTTTTTTCAATTTTTTTGAATTTTTTCTGGCCAATAGCATCCAATTTATTGTTACTCCATATTTTATATATTTTTTGGTTCTATATGATTGGATTTTCTAAAAAAATTTGTTTTATTTAACAATTTTTACTTTTTCTGTTCTATAATTTTGATTTTTTTATAGCTACGACTAGGGGCAAACCAACTCGTCTAATGCAGGTGCCAAGTACCTTGTCCAAATCATGTTTTATAACTTTGGTAATCTCCATTGGATATCAAGGCCATGCTCTTTAAAGGTAGACACAAAATGTCTATGAATATACTTTTCTTTTTGTGGGGGCTGGGGGGAGTAGATGGGGAAGTTACATGCCCCAAATTTAGGGTCCATGAATACTCCAAAAAGAGGTTTTAAGTCTATATGAAGAATTGGTGCAAGGAAAGTTACGAGGGGTGAACTGTATCCCAACTCTCCATATCATTCTGACGCGACGTGTGGTCCTGAAGGGAACACGCACTTTATACACACTTAATGACCCACAAGTTTTGCACGAACTTTCTGGCGCTTTATTTGTCAATGGGAATAGAAACCGCATGTTTACTAGGGTGTGAGGTGCTACCACCACCACCACCCCAGCGCCTTTCCTACCCCTTTCCTACCTGTGCTATCTGCAACAACAAAAACCCCACCCATACTCTTAGGAGGAAAGAGCAAACAAATGCCTAGTGAAGTGTCAAGCAAGTCTCTGAATTTCAGCTATAAAACTTTTCTTTAAGAGACTTGCAAAGTTTATATAGAGATGCAACCTTATAATGTAGAACTATGGATGCACCTAAAAAATACATCGAAAAAGGTAATTTTAATATTGAAAAACCCTTGATTGATCATCTCGGCATTGAGATGTATTACCATGAAAAATAAAAATATTTTAACTCTTAAAAATAATACATTTTACAACATATTATCTACACCGTCCATTTTCAATATTTCATATGTTTATAGATCTACTTGATTTTAATCATTTTCGAAATTTAAAATTTTATAATTAGATATAAAAATAGATTTTGAGATAATCCTAAAAACATTTTGCATCAAAATTATATACCATGATAAAATTTGAAAATACACCTTACCTGTACAGCTACGGACACCCGGTGAGGTTCGTATAAGGTGTCAACCTTAAACAATCCCGGTAGGGTACACCCCAAAATCTCGTTGAAGATACATTTTTGGTTCCAAAACTCTTTTGATGGCCTAAAAAAACTATTTTTGAATCATATTATAAAATTTAATGCTAAAAAAATAGTACAAATCTAGTAGATCCATGAGCCCTCGAAAATCCTGAAAATGAACGGTCTAAAAAATGTGCTACAAGATATATTATCTTTAAGGCATTGAAAATCAATTTTTCTTCTATGTCCATACATATAGAAGTCGAGACGATCAATTAGAGGGTTTGTCAATGACAAAACAACGTTTGTTTGGTAGATATTTTATGTGCACCTTTTTTCTACAGTATAAGGCTGAAACCTTATATAACTTTTTCCTTAAAATTATAAGGCAGCCTATCCTTGGAACATGATGTAAACCAAATAAATTCTCCTCGCCTTTCCCAACTTATCCCCATACACGTTTTGGTCTTTTAAAAAGATCAAAACACCCACAAGAATATCTTGAATTCATTTTGCATAATAAATCATGGTACACCAAATACATCAACAGACATACCAGATACATTATCATCCAAACCTTATCCCAATTATTTTAAACCAACTACACGAATCTTGTTCTACCATATACGCTTCAGATTTATGAAAAACTATCCTTGTCAAGTAAAAACTATGAGCCTTCATGTTTGAACTGTATAAACAAGACTTTCAGTCAGCTGTAGGTTCTAAGTTCTAGCTTTCCACCCAAATATCGAATATGACAACAATAAATTTATCTTTTTTCCTTTGTTTTCCTTTCTATAGGTTTAAACTTGAAAAGAATGAAGTTTTTGGGTCTTCTGCATGAGAATAGGGAGCCGGTGGCTGACATGGTTTGGATCAGAGTATGCTGCGGAATCAGAAGGAAAACCCCTCTGCAAAATCCATTGAAATTCATTAATTTATTGTGAATGAATCAAACAAAGAACCCAATAGACAATAACCTATTAGCGTGAGTGACATCCACTTACAGCAGCTAAGTCCTGGAAAGTCCCTTCCCTCCAGCAGATCTCATGAAGAACGAGTGGGATTCCACTGGGGTCTTCAAACCCGAAAGGGCAGTACATGCGACAGTCTCTCAATCTCATGAGTACACCATCGACCCTGAGCTGTCAAAGACACCACAATTACAGAGCAGTTACAGCACTAGATGTTCGCACCCGTAAAGATGCTTTTGATTTGTATACATAGGTCTCAAAAACTTGACTGCAACCAGAAGAATCTCAAAGACAATTGGGAAACAGATCTATGTTTTCTTCAAACAAGTAGGGCTGCTCTCTCTCTCTCTCTCTCTCTCTCTCTCAAACACATACATACACAGTGTTTCCTCTGTGATGCAGCCCAAACAAAGATTAATTTGGGGCTTGCGCACAAGAGACTCTCTACGACTCATGCAGAGTCACATTGTACTGTAACGCAGCCCAAACGAAGATTAATTTATTGCTTGGGCACAAAATAACAGCCTCAGAATAGTGTACACAATATAAAGGCACCATACTAGCAGTTAGGAAGTGTGACACAAGGAAGAATTAATACTTACCCAAAAACGTAGTAGAAGAAACCAGCAATTCGGCATTACCCTCTGCAAAGAAATGGGATTCTATCAGCTTTCTTGACTCACATTATGGAACATAATTAGAACTGGAGAAGCAAATGCACTGAAAATTATCCGTGAGTGCATCACAACTTACCACTTTGACTGTCAAAAGTGAGATCCCATTATCAGCTAATTCATCTTCGTACAAAATTACCTGTTTAGATACATAACTTTATTGACTTGTTTACACAGAAAAAACTTATGTTTACAAACACGCATAAAACATTCATAACATACACACACCACACATGCATATGAACACACAAACCTCGTCATAGAACAGTATAGGCTCTTTTGATGATAGTGCAGCGAGATCAATACGGTCATCAGAGTCCACCCATTGCAACTCAAGGCTATCTGCTTTTGGCTCCTTCACTTTAGAATTCTAGACATTGAACAAATATTTCACTTAGATATCCCTTAACACATTAAGAACTATATATATCTATATATATATATATATAATATATATATAGGGAAAATGTTCTGTCAGCCCATGGGCTGAAAGAATAGTATAGGCCTCGAATCTAGGCAGATCGGACGGTCATGACTATATTTCGTATTTGAATTTTAAGTTTTATTTTTTACAAATCCAAATCACATGAAATTTGGAAAGTCCAATCTTCACTTCAAGGCGCACATAATAAAAATATTAAAAAACTTATTGGACAAAAATAAATTGACCAAAAATACTCCTAATAGTTTTTGGTCCATTTAGTTTTTGTGAATATT